TCTTCAGTGTGGAAGAGATTGTCACTCTCGATTTGGCCTCCTCAGCCACACTAGGCGCTGTTCCAAGCCTTTCCATACAGAGCACGCTACCATAGTCTTTGGAGACTGAAGGATGCCTAACTAAATCAGTTAGAGCAGCAGTCCCCAACCTTTTTAGCTTCACGGACCAGCTGGGGAAGGTGGGGCACCTCCTGCACATGCGCGAAGGCGTGTGTGTGTTTGTGCGCATGCGCAAAATGCAGCGCTTGTGCAGATGTGCACTTGCTTGTGCACATGCGTAAAGGGTGGTGCAGCGCTCCTGCAGGCACTCGCTCGCACGCAGGTGCAAACAGGCTGTGGGGGGAGTGCGTCCGGGGGGGGAGGTATCTCTCCGCAGCCTGGTTCAGCTCAGGCCACAGACCGGCATGGGGCCATGGACCAGGGTTGGGGACCTCTGAGTTAGATTACTGTACCCTAAATTGTTCTTAGAAGTGTACTTCATTCTTATTCCTGAAGAGTTTTTGCTTTTTGTCTTCTAACAATAAACAGTGCCCACTCTCTTGTAGTTCTGCTTGTATTACTATTTGGGTTCTGCCTCCTCTGGGGGCAGTTCGCTCTCCTGCATGTAGAGTAATTAGACTATTTGATTACAGCTCTGGAAGAATTACTAGGCCACAGCAGCGACTGTTTGGATTGAGACCAGTGAAGAACAGTTGATCATGTTGAATAGGGAACAGCCTTTCTTTTCAGTAGAATATTTACTTTTTGTGGCATACTATCTATCAAATAACTGTTAGTCTATTCAGGTATTTTAAATATGGTTAAAGGAAACTCGCAAGGAAGGGAAGCTGTGATGAGCAGCTCACTTATTTCCTGCGCTGTTGTTTCATTCCCTTTTACTTTTTTTCTGTAGGGGAGAACCTCTTCTATCTATGGAAGCTTTACCTCTCAAATGAAACCCTAGAAAATGAAAGTTTCAAAACAAGGGAGTCACCTCCATGAGTAGCAGAGTCTCACTTCTTTAGAAAGTAACCCTTTCTATGCAGAGGGTGGCAGAAACACATGAGGGAACAGGGGCAAGTGTGGTCATCCTTATTCCTTCCTACATGTCTACTTATTCTCTCCAAATAGAGCTCACTTCAATGAGTCCAAATATTTCTCCCTATGCTAAAGCATGGACTAGTATATTAAAATGAGGCTGTCATGACTGCTCTTGAACAGAGATCACAGCCACGCTGACATGTCCTGAACACATGCTGCTTAGATTACTGCTATCCAACATTTTGCTTCCCAAATCATTCACTTATTTGTTACTTTGATTGTGTGCTTTCAGACTACATACCTATGTTAGCTTCCTGTCCAAACCCCAGATTCGGAATAATTATCTGCATTTTTTCACTTTTCACACCATCTTTTCATGGCTTGAGATAACTTCTTTTGCCTTGACTTTTGCTCCTGTAGCAGTGCTACTTTTAGTATGTAATCAGTTCTCCTTTAGTGTAATTTATGGCTTCAGCTGCCTTCCAGAACATGGGCACAATGCCACATCTACATCCTTCCCATCATTCCTCAGAAACCTCCTTTTCAGTAAAAATTTTGGTACAATCCCCGAGGTTCACTATTTTAATGTAGCTAAGCCTGATGACATGGAACCAAAATTAATGTTCATTCTTTGTTCATTCCCATGTAACCACTTCCATTCTTTTCCTCTGTCTTTCCTGCACTGGATTTAAGATTTGAAAGCCTTCGTACAGTGACTGTGCTGCATAAAACACATGAATCCACAAAACAGTACTTTAAATATGACTAATATCCTTGTTTTGTTCTTGTGTTAATTCTATAGGCATTAATTGCTGAAAAGTTTCCTTCTTCAGAAATTACTAAAGCAAAAAAATTCTTACTTGGTGAATTTTTGCTTTTGGTTTTATTTTGTACAGAAAGTCCTCAGTGCAAGAAGAATTCCAAATAGTCAAGGTGAAGCTATTTCTAGAAAAAACCTGACTCTCCATTGCATGAATTATATGCTGCCAACTGACCCTGAAGAAAAGCTGGAACAGAATTTGCAAGGAAACAAAACGAAAACTTTGGACTTGGACTTGGAGGATCTGGGCTTAGAAATGCCTCAAGTAAGTGCCCACTATTTATAGTGACTTGTCTGAAGCATAGGCGCAATACATTTTACTTACTGTAGGTTTAATTGTAAATTTTTTTGAGGGGGGCATGGTAGATAACATGCAGAACAGGACACAATAAACATCAGAATATGCTGCTTTTTCAGGAGACCTTAATTAATGATGAAGTATCATTGTGATTTTTCTTTACATAGTAACTGTTGGAGAGATTCAAGTTGCCAGAGAAAGTCTAGCGGCAACAGAAACATTCTGTGATCCTGTTTATTACTGTTTCCAGTGAATTGTTTAATATACTGGCAGTAGTTAAAGTGATAGCAAGGGGATGGGTGCAGAAAAGTGCTGATGGAATTGGCTTATGGAGAAATTGGGCAATTCCGCCAAGCCCGCCTGCCTTTTTCTTGTGCAGCCAGAGCTTGAGAAGGCAATTTCCAGGCAGGGGTGGCGGGCATGGTTTGAAAGAGCAGCAGCTATAACAGTGGTGGTGTTGAACAATTGAATAATCTCGTAGTAGTTAATTTCTGTATTTCTGGTGTGAAACAGTGGTGGCTGCACAAGTATAGAATTTAGTCAGTAGAAATACTGCATGTCGAACTGCTTTTCTATGATGTCACCACTTCATAAAACAACAATATGCAACTTGAAACTCTTGCCTGCAAATGGGTAGGAAACCTTTTTCAATCACGGTCTGAATTTGAGTATTGGAAGGACCTTGGGCAGGAGGATAGTGCGCCAAATGTAATATGATTAATATGGCAAGAAGTAGAGGACAAAGAAAGTAACTAGGTGGGAATGGAACACATTCCAGGGGTGCAAAGCATAACTCTGTACCTTTTCTCAGGAGTTAAGTCCTTGTGCAATAGTGTCTTAAACAGGGTACTACTTGTTAAGGAATAAACTGTGTATGTAACAACATCAAACAAGGCCATGTGATACAATTTCTAAAATGGAGAGGACCATTTTGGTTATAATGTTTCAGTTCCAGAATAATCTCTCCAATATTGTCTTTTATGGCTTTCTTTTAGGCAAGCCATAAAAGTCTCCTTTTATGTGTCTTTGTCACACTGTTATTTTAAACTGTGTTTTTTATTTGTATTAAATAAATTTATTTTGTACTTTGATACAGAAAATGGGGTATAAATTATGGAAATGAAGTACCATTGGGGGGAAAATTTCCTTAGAGAGGAAGTTAAGCAAAATTTGTACTATACATTGATAAAAAATGAGTGCGTTTGTTAATTTATTTTGCATATAGCGTGTGGACTACTAGTCTGCCTTCATTTATTTAAACTATTTGGTAAATGTAGAACATTGACCAGGTGGTTAACTTGTAGATTGGCTTTTGGGCCCCTGCTGTAAGAAGGTGCTACTGTCTAAAGGAGAGTACAGGGGAAAGGATGACCATAAACTGATTTTTCAACTAGACAGGACGTACATTTTTGTGGGGAAAATGTTTCTTATATTGTGTGATTATGACTATCTATTGTAGCCTAGTGTGAGCGGAATGGACCCTCCTTTTGGGGATGCTTTTCGAAGCCATGTGTTTTCAGAACAGACTTTGATGAGCACAGATCTTTTGGCGAACAGTTCTGATCCAGATTTCATGTATGAATTGGTAAGTTATTTTATTTTCTTCTGATCACATAAAGAATAGCTTAGCCTTTTTCATATGTGAGTGGATGCACTTAATAAGGATTTGTTCAGTGAAGTGTGTTGTACTTTTCTATTAACTTTAATCACTAATTGAGAAAGACAGATAAATCTGACTGACAAGAAGAAAGCTTTGACATACCATCTATTGAAGAGCTGTTTTGTCACTTTGGAACATTCCTGCATTATAGACTTGAAAATATTACTGCATACAACAGGAACAACTTGTGTATTAGAAGATGTGTTTATTTGTTTAAAAAATAAGGGAAGTAGAATGAGAGTTGGAAGATTTCCAATGGTCAGAATACTGTTGCACATTTGCACAAAAAAGTAGCTTTTAACAGTAAATTGGTATAAGTCAAGAAATCTCTATAGGCATTATCTGTTGTGTGTTGAATTGCACAACTCAGTATGCAAAACATAATGCCTACTGAGATTTCTTAGCTTATGGCAATTTGCTAATAAAAGTTATGCCTTTTGCATAACTGTGCAACAGGATTTGGCCAATAAATCATCAGGTTCCGTTCCCATAGAATATTCAGAACAAGGAGATGTACAAAGGGAAAAAATACTGCTCCTTCAAGCTAGAAAGTTGCCACAGTCCTCATCCACCTTCAGCATCTTCCTTGTTTCATTGTCACATTATCTTTTCAGACGGAATGTTTTTCCCCATCTTAATTGGTTTTTCTTGGTTGTGAAGTAGTGGTTTTCCATTAGATGAGTAGTATGCAAATACTATAAATAAAGGTTGTTGTGGGTTTTTTGGGGCCATCAATCTCAGTGACAGATAATCTCTCCCTCTCCCCCTCCCTCATCACAACAAAAAATATGCAGATCACCCTATCTCCTGAAAAAAGACAAAAGCCGTTCCCACAGCTATAAATACTATCCAACAAACACCATCAGAGCATGGACAGAGTTCCTACTCCAGTCCTCTCGAGATGCCGGCCACAGAGACTGGCGAAACGTCAGGAAAAACAACCTTCAGAACATGGCCAAATAGCCCAAAAAACCCACAACAACCACTATAAATCTAGTCTGACTCTAATATTGTAACAACATTGTTGCTTCTCATGTCGTTAACCTATTTACATTTACTTAGGGGCTGCAGCCATATTGCATTAACCACTCTCATTCTTGTAAATATCTGGAAACTAGTCCTGCCTTGATCTTTGTCTGAGCTAATCATGGTTGGACCCTTCGGCATGAAAACATGTGTCTGATTTTCCCCCCTTGTGGAGGGATACTAAAACCAAGTTTTAAAAGTACACAAAAACTGTGTTTGCTCACCCAGCCTCTTTCCCATAGCAGCCAACCAGCATCTCTGCAAATTCGGCAAAGAGGATATGATAGCAGTAGTAACATCTTATCCATATTCTCAAGCAGCATTATGCCTCTGGTTCTGAGGTTAATAGATAATGATGGCTAGGCAATGATAGCCTTGTCCGAGATTTGTCTAATCCCCTTTTAAAACTGTCTGAGTTTCTAGCCATCACCACATCTTGTAGTAGCAAATTTTAATCGTTGTTTTCATCTGTCCTCAGACTTTTACTGCAGTCTCTTTGGTTGGCATGGGATTTTATTGTGAGAAATGGAGAAAAAACCTCTCACTATTTGTTCAAGTAGTGCATAATTTCATATGTTTTGTCCATCATGTGTCTTCTTAGTCACCTCTTCCAAAAGTTAAATAGTTCCAAACATTGTTGCCTTTATGCAATGAGGAGCTCCTCCCAACTCCTGAGCAATTTTGGTTTCCCTTTTCTATAAAAAATAGTCTTCCATGTCTGGTTAGAATAAGGTTCTTCGGTGTGTGGCTGTTAAGAGATTCTGTCTGACTAACATGGGCTTCTTACCCTTTTGTCTGTTGTACTAATTTAATTCGTTATTAAATGGCGTATGTGATAAAAGCACTGATAGGTAATTAGATCAAGGATTTCTTGTGGCTAAATAATTATTAAACTGGCCACAGAAATTGTGAATCTCTGAAAAACCTTCACTTGGAAATGCAGTCCTCTGTAAGGGAGGATTGTAGCCTTAAACAGGTTTCTCCTTTTAGGTATTTGTAATTTTGGAGACATGTATTAGGAATGGTTAAAGTGCCACCCATGGGTTGCAAGCCCCCCCTCCAACCCATTGCAGCAGCCAAAGTATTCACTAATATCCCTGACTTCCCCCCAAAATGCCCTCCCAAAGGCCTCTGGAAGGCAACTTACACTGTACAGTTAATTTCCATGGGCCTGTTACTTTATGCTTTAAAAGGCCTTTTTGAAAACCAGAAGTGATTGGACTATCACTTTCTATTCTTTGAAAAAAGGGCTTCTATTATTTGAAAAAGAACCAAAAGAAGAAAAAAAGGGATGCAATTTGTATTTTGGGGCCATGTAATCAGAGGGAGCAAGGTGGTAGAAGGGAGTATATGCCCCTCCAGGGTGTGAGAAAGGACAAGGGTCCCCTGGGCATTTGGAAGTTGCCCATCCTGGTATGCCTGGTGCACTTGAACGGTAAATTAGCTGTTTAAAAAGCTACTTCTAGAAAGTAGTAGTAAATTGGAGACAAAACAAATTTACTCTTACTTACTCACCTTCTTTAAATTATCTGTATAGGACAGAGGAATGGATTACCAGCAGAGTTCCAGGGACAACCTCTTTTCTGTAGAGGACTGTAAAGAACTTGAGAACTTGGAGCCTTTTACAGACATTTTGGACACTGAACCATGTTTCCCTGCAAACTGGGAACAATGGGACACATACTCTGAAGATTTGACAAAGTATACCAAGTTGACTAGCTGTGACATTTGGGGAACAAAAGAGGTGGACTATTTGGGTCTTGATGACTTTTCAAGCCCATACCAGGATGAAGAGGTGATAAGTAAAACTCCAACATTGGCTCAGCTCAACAGTGAAGACTCACAGCCTGTCTCAGATCCACTGTGCTACCCAGAATTGCTGTTCAGTGTAAAACAGACCCAGCTATCTTCTCTGCCAATGAAGAAAATTGCAGCTAGAGCAGCTGCTCCTGTTTGTTCATCCAAGACTGCTCAGTCTGAAGCACCTTTATCAGAACTTTCCCAAAAAGCAAGCAAGCCCAATTCAAGCACGGAAATCATGGTGAAGACCAATGTGTACAATAATGAGAAAGTGAACATTCATGTTGAATGTAAAGACTATGTTAAAAAGGCAAAAGTAAAGATAAATCCTATACAGCAGAGCAGGTCTGCTATGAGCCAGGCAAATGCTGATGCTGCAAAAGAGAATACTTGCTACTGTGGAGCTGTAGCAAAGAAGCAAGAGCGGAAAGGGACTGACTCCCTCCAGAGTCCCAGCGCTCCTGTGTTGCCTTTCAAAGAGACTCAAGCGCTGCTCCTTACTCCATCCCAGGCAGTCCCGCGACTCGTTGCTGAGGAGACCAGCCTCTCTGCCAGCACCTCTGTTTCTGATCCTTCACAGAAAAAAGAAGAACATAATTATTCTCTCTTTGTCGCTGACAGTTTGGGTGAGCAGGCAAGCAAAGCTGATCCTGACGAGGAGGATGAAGATGAGGATGAGGTGGAGGATGAAGACCATGATGAAGGGTTTGGAAGTGAGCATGAACTGTCTGAAAATGATGAAGAAGAGGAAGATTATGAAGATGATAAAGATGATGACATCAGTGATACTTTCTCTGAACCAGGTAATGAAGCCTGTGGAAGTCTAGCACTGTAATGTAACTCCACAGACAGTGCCCATTCATAAGTAAAGAATCTGTGTTTTAATTAGCAGACATCCATGCCTATGGTGAAGGCAAGGAGCCTAGAACATAGCCATGTTTTTTTGCAACAGTCTTCTCTAACTTTAGGATGTAACCTAGAACTAATTGGAAGGATCATATTGAGTGAGCTTTTAACAGAATGCATATGTTGCTACTTGATCCTCTGGAAAGAGAAAATACATTACTTCATTTGTTAGGTCCAAGTGATTATTGGCAATAACACATGCCATGCTCATTATCCAGAAATAATGAAGAATGCTTAATGAAACTTTCCTACATGGCGAGAAAGGCATTTTATTGCATGAATGAGCAATAGAATCCCCAAAGAAGATATAATACCGTCTGTTACTGTTATTGGTAAATGCTATTGCCTCATTTTGAGTGCTGAGATAAACTGATTTGTTAATTCTAAACATTTTATTATTTCTGTTACACTTTTGGAATAAAATCAGTCAAGAATAGTAGCCCTTCAAATAAGAGATGTTATACAGACATCATTCAGTTTAACTTATATTTTGCATTGACATGGATGCTTGCTAGATGAAAAGCAGATTATTTCTGTCTGAACAGATACTGATTAAAATTACTTGATGCATCTGTTCTATAAGCTCTCTATGTGTGTGTAACATTCATGTGTGTATGAATACACTCTTTTTCTTTGTGACATGGAGTGGAAGGCTTGCCTCCCCAGCAGGGGTGGTGGTGTTCTCAAACATCTGGGTGATTATGGGTAGAGGGAGATATGGCATTGGTGCAGCTCCTACTCGTGTTAGAAGAACAGTGAACAGATGTTTTAAGGCTGTTCACTGTTCTGGGGCTGTGACCAACTGCCAATCCTGAGGTAGTCAGATCAGCCGGTCCTCCACTCTAAAACTGGTGCTGCTGAATGCCAGGTCTGTGCCCAATAAATCCCAGATTATTTAAGATCTTATTCTGGAGGAGGATTCAGACCTGGCGTGTATAACTGAGACTTGGGTAGGCGGGGAAGGGGGAGTTCCCCTGACCCTTGCCTGTCCCCCTGGTTACGCAGTCCAGCACCAAGGCAGACTGGAGGGGGGAGTAGCCATTGTTTATAGAAACACTATAGAGGTTACTAGGTGCTCCTCAGTGGTGAAGCCAGGTCTGGAGGCCCTCCACGTGTTTGTTGGGGCCAGGGATGGTATTGGGATCTTGCTGGGTTACCACGCTCCCCGCGACCCAACCATCTCCCTACCAGAGCTGGCGGACTTTGTCTCTGCGGCACTGTTGGAGTCCGCGAGGCATTTGGTCCTGGGTGACTTCAATATCCATGTGGAGGCAGGGGTTTCTGGTCCAGCTCTTGAGTTCTTGGAAACCATGCTTCCTTGGACATGTCCCAACATATCAAAGGTCCCACACATGTGGGCAGCCATATGCTAGACCTGGTATTTTCCATCGAGCAGAGTGAGCGTGGTCTGATGGTGACTGACCTGGTGTCAGTCCCCTTGTCATGGTCAGATCATCACCTAATAAAATGTAACCTCTCAGTGGCACTCCCTCCCTGCAGGGAGCATGGACCTATTTCGATGGTCCGCCCTTGAAGGTTACTGGAGCCATTATGATTCCAGGATACAACAAGAGGGATTCCAGCTGATCTGTCTGGCGCTCCTGTCGAAGCTCTGGTTGACGGCTAGATTGCCGCCACAACTAGGGCCATAGACACGATCGCTCCTAAACACCCTCTCCGTCGCAGAGCTCGGCCAGGGGCCTGGTATAATCAGTAACTACGAGCTATGAAGCAAAATAGGAGATGGCTAGAGTGCACTTGGAGAGACAAACAGATGGATTATAATAAGAGAGCTGTTAGGATCGCAACTAACCATTACCTGGCAAAGGTGAAGGCTGCTAGATGATCACACTTCGCTGACCGGATAAGCGAAGCTTCAAATCAGCAGGTGGAACTTTTCCGTATAGTTCGCGATCTATCCAGAATTGGTCTGGGTGATGGATCTCCCACTAATATCTCACCTGACCAATTTGCAGCATTTTTTAAATCTAAAGGGGAGACCATCCGCCGGGATCTCTCTCCTTTTTTAAATACAGTGGATCGAGCAGAGATCTCCAGCGCTCTGCCTTGCCCGATGAGACTCGAACTCTTTCAGCCTGTGACACCAGATTTGGTGGACAAAGCATTTGATCGCTATCGGGCCTCCTCTTCCTCCCTTGACCCTTGCCCAGCCTGGCTAATCAAAGCAGCTAGGCCTATAACAACTGAATGGGCCACTGCAATAATTAATGGGTCTCTCCTTGAGGGCAGGGTTCCTCTTGCACTCAAGGAGACACTCATTAGGCCAATTAGGAAGAAACCAGATTTGGTGGCGGACGACATTGGGAACTACAGGCCCATCGCCAATGTTTCTTACCTTAGCAAAGTGATGGAGAGGGTGGTGGCCGATCAGCTGCAGGCTCTTTTGGATGAAACCAATGCCCTGGACCCATTTCAGTCAGGCTTCAGGCCGCGCCACAGTACGGAAATGGCACGAGTCGCACTGTTGGATGACCTGTTGAGGGAGGCTGACAGAGGCAATATGTCCTTGTTGGTCCTCCTCGACATTTCAGCAGCCTTTGATACTGTCGACCACAGTATCCTCCTGGGGAGACTCTCAGAGTTAGGAATCGGTGGACAGGCACTTGCCTGGTGCCATTTCTTCTTGGAGGACCGCCCTCAGCGAGTCCAGCTTGGAGAGAGTGTTTCAGCCCAGTGGAGCCTCAATTGTGGGGTTCCGCAGGGTTCGATCATCTCTCCAATGCTGTTTAACATCTATATGAGGCTGCTGGGAGGGGCCATCAGGGGGTGTGGGGCTTCGTGCCATCAGTATGCTGATTACACCCAGCTCTACATCTCTTTTTCACCTTCCTCAGTGGATGCCATCCCGTCCCTTGAGCGCTGCCTGGAGGCTGTACTGCGGTGGATGCAGGAGAATGGGCTGAGGTTGAACCCGGGCAAGACAGAGGTCCTGATGGTGGGTGGCCCCTCCATCTGCGGTTTGGGAAACTCCCTCTCTTTTGTGGGGGGTGACTCTCACCACAAAAAGTGAGGTTCGCAGCTTGGGAGTACATCTGGACCCGGCGCTCACCATGGAGACCCAGGTGGCATCAGTGGTCCACTCCGCCTATTTCCATCTGCGGCAGATTGCCCAGCTGCGTCCCTATCTTGATGTTGGGGCGCTCACCACTCTAGTCCATGCGCTTGTAATCTTGAGATTAGACCACTGTAATGCACTCTATGTGGGGCTACCTTTGAGGTTGTTGCGGAAACTTCAAATGGTGCAAAATGCGGCGGCCAGATTTCTCACTGGAATGAGAAAATACCAGCATATCACTCCCACCCTAGCCGCCTTGCATTGGCTTCCCATTCGTTTCTGCATCCACTTCAAAGTGTTAATGATGACTTATAAAGCCCTAAACGGTTTAGGACCTCGATACATGGCGGAACACCTTCTCCCACCTAGATCTACCCATCACCCGTTTTAGCCAGGGAAGACGGCTGAGGGGCCTAACACCAAGAGAGGCCCGGAAAGAAAGAACAAGAAACCGGGCCTTCTCGGCAGTGGCCCCTCAACTATGGAACACCTTGCTGTCGGAAATCACCCTGGCACCCTCGCTGAATGTTTTTAAGAGTCATTTAAAGACTTGGCCCTTTAGGCAGGCCTTCCCTCCAGTCAACACTTGAATAATTTTCCTCTTTAATTTTCCTTTTCCTCCATCTTGAATTTCTAAATTTGTTGATTTAATCATGTGATTGTTTTATGCCATATTTTGATAGTAATGATAATGTTTTTATATGATCATACTTTATGATGTTTTATAATTGTTTGTAAGCCGCCCCGAGTGGACTCTGTCTAGAGGGGCGAGGTAGAAATCAATCGATCAAAGCTCATCAGTGTAAGACTAGAGAATGATAGTCTTAGGTTGCTATGGAAATGATGAGTAGAAACTTAGTTCTTTGGACTTAAGTGCCACAGCAGTCTCTGTAATATGGAGCTGAAAATATTATAAGTTAACTATGCTCTGGCTCCAGTTTACATTTTTCTCTGTACCTATCTCTGCAGTGCATTTTTTGCCTTACATATGAGCATTTGCCTTATATATAGGGCAAAAAAGTAAAGTAGTAGCTGAGGAAATTAGTAGCTGAAATGGAGGCGGAAGTGATAAGGAATTGAAGCTGGCTCTAGATTCCAGTTGGGAATCTAGCGCCACCCAAAGCTGTGCAGCTAGAGAACATGTGTCGGATGAAACATGTGACAGTTTTGCAACAGCAGTTAGTGGTTACACAGTAAATAGCATTTTTCACAATTTGCTCTCAATGTTCTGTTCTGGAGAAAGGTTGTTTTGTCTGGTGGTTACATTGGCAATGTTTCAGCAGCAACTTCAGAGTGCTTGTAGGCTTTCATTTTGTAACAGTAAATAAAGTATGTCCAATAAAATGTTGTTTGGTAAATGAAATTGTCATTTTATGGGTGGATTGACAAATAAGGTCAAAAAGCTTACATAATGCTCTGAAGAACAGCTTAAATATTGAACAAATTAGCAAATTTCCAACTCCTATTTCCCTATATTCTTCCCTCTTATAATTGAAGTCTTTTCTGTCCATCTCAGCCCATCTTAATATGGAAAATTTTGAAACAACTTATTTATGTATTTTTAGGATATGAAAATGATTCTGTAGAGGACTTGAAAGATATGACTGCAATATCTTGTCGAAAAAGAGGCAAGCGAAGATATTTCTGGGAATATAGTGAGCAACTGACACCATCACAGCAAGAGAGAATGTTGAGGCCTTCAGAGTGGAATAGAGACACATTACCAAGCAATATGTATCAGAAAAATGGATTGCATCATGGTAAGAACAGTTCCTATGTAGATGAAGTTGCTTTCTAGTATGCATGGGTGCTATTTCTAAAACTTGTAGAAAATTCTGGCTTTGTTCAAGGAAGATGTTCTTTAAGCTATTCAATCTGTCTCTGTCATGGTTGAGCTGTGACTTACAACTGAAAAAGAGGTAACTTGAACTTACTTTAAAGAGACATGGGAGCACTGAGAAATGTAGTTGCTGAAGTTTTTTGTTTGGTACCATTCTAATGCCGCTTCTGCACAGCTAGCTCCTGCTAATTTTACAAAGTAGTTATGCATAGGTTTTTTATCTCCTTCATCATACCTGCAGTAATTTACAGAGACAGTGGTACTGGGATGACAATGTGGTTGACTATCAGAACAAGACAGTCATGCTGTTTGTGGCAAAGGTGATAGTTCCCCTTCTATCTGGCACCCTCTGTTTCTGGTGGCATTGGTTTTCATCACCCTTGTGAGTAAGGCCAACATTTCTAGATCTCAATTTGGATTGGGGTACAAAACAAATATTTTATATTACTTTTCATTGTGCTGATGGTCATTTTGAGCACTAAACCTTCTTACCATTAAAGTGTAAATGTGAAAGCTCCAAACTGTGCAGTATAACAGCAGCACAATGTATACGTAATGAAGTGGCCGTCATTCTGTCTGGCTGTCCACCTTGCATCTGCAGATTTTTCAGTTATATTTTTCTTTGCACCAATGTTATGTTTCCAGTCTGGGTCTATAGTATCTTTAAAATCCATACAAACCTGACTTAGTTTATGTATTCTAATGAAAATAAATATGAAGGAAGCATGGGGGACTGTAAACTAAATAATATTTCTGTACTTTGAATGTCTTCTTGCAACCCATCAAATCACCTACTTGTATCTGTGTTTAAATAGGAAAATATGCTGTTAAGAAGTCACGGAGGACTGATGTAGAAGACCTGACACCTAACCCCAGAAAATTATTACAGATTGGGAATGAACTGAGGAAGCTTAATAAAGTGATCAGTGATTTGACCCCAGTCAGCGAACTTCCATTAACAGCTAGGCCAAGGTCAAGGAAAGAAAAAAACAAGCTAGCTTCTAGGTAATGAGTTTTTAATTAACTAAGTTCCTAATTGTTTATATGCCCTGCCGACTGGGGGGGGGGTCTTTTTGATAAGCACATTTAGGTTGAGTAAATTTTTATAGTTGTTGTAATATTCTATAATGGCCTTAAATGCTTGAAGAGGAATACTGTATGATTGTGCTACTGAAAGGATAAATGTGTGTTAAAGTAAGATTTTTCATTGTGTCTGGGCAGTTACACTTTACAACATAAAACTGTGAAGCACTGACTAGGAGACCTGCATGGTGAATTTTTTAATGCAACTTTGATACAATGTGTTGGCTATTCTCATTTTGTTTTTTCCTTGTCTCATTACCATTACAGGGCTTGCCGACTGAAAAAGAAAGCACAGTATGAAGCCAACAAAGTAAAACTTTGGGGTCTCAATACTGAATACGGTAAGCCTTTATTTAAGGAAGAAAATGCCTTAATTAGTAGTGTTTTTTCTTGCAAAAACTACATGTGGTTGGTGATCAAGACCTTGAAGCCTAGTTGTTTTCTGTAACTATATTGTCTGATCCTATATGCACCCTCCTTTCCTGAGGTTTAAAAGCCACTAATCCAAACATATAGCTTGCAGAGTATTCTCTCTACGGGAAATAGTATCATGTGTTTTATAACAGTAACATTAAAAGTTAATGCTCTAAAGATGATCAGACTTTTGAAATGGCTTTTGGCAGCTAACAGTTGGGTCAACGGCCTTTTTATCACGGTATCTCTCTTCTGGAATGCACCTCTCAGGGAGACACACCTGCTGCCCATGTTTATATATTTTATGTGCCTTTGTATTTTCCCAGACTTTCAGTCTACATTGTATTTTCCCCCTGTTATTATTGTTCTTAGCTTTACCTTCATGGGTCTATTATGTTCATATTAGCTGCTGTAAGGTGCCCTGGAAACTTTGCATTGAAGGGCTGTATAGAGATGTTTTTAAATAAAGAGTAGACTTGAATAGTCTTATTTATTTGTCTGTTTATCTGTCCATCTATATACCACCCTATTAGTGTGATGCACTAAACTAGGTAGTTTGCATTGTGATAAAACACAATGATCAATAAAATTAAAACAGAGCATACAAAGAACAATACAAATCTTCCTTTCCAAAAGAATTACATTGTATAGGCTTATGCTGTTGCTTGGTCTTTTCTGCCTATAGATAATTTGCTGTTTGTGATAAATTCTATCAAACAAGAAATTGTGACTAGAGTTCAGAGTCCTAAAGATGACAGAGAAACCAATATGGCTCAGAAACTCGACATATTTATTAAAGACACCCTTGGTAAGTAAGCATCAAGTGCAATATTACTGATAAAGAGGAAGAGATGTAGGATTTCCATCATTTTAGTGTTTCTAAATCTTGAAAGAGGGATACCCAGTGTGGTGTAGTGGACAGAGTGATGGACTAGGACTCAGGAGGCCTGTGGTTGAATTCCTAGTGAATCATGGAAGCTAACTGGGAGTGTGGAACTGGTAAAAATATTCTGTATATATTATATTTAACTGATGTAAGCCGCCCCGAGTAGACGTTGTCTAGAGGGGTGGGGTAAAAATCAAATAAATAAATAAACAAATAAACAAATAAACAAATAAACAAATACATACATACATACATACATACATACATACATACATACATACATACATACATACATACATACATACATAAGCTTGAAAGCCCTATTAGAGTTACTATAAGTCATTTTTGACTGATGGCAAGTAACAAAAATCTCAAAACACTATTGTACTCATAGCATTTGTGCATAGAGTGTGCATCTTAGCATTTTAGCTGAGAGGAGGGGTTGAAAGTTTAGAATGTCCCTGAGACTGTCTATGCAGCTGTAGAAGTACCCATGTGTGTGAATTCATGGATGACCACTCAAAGAACTACAGTTACAGGTAAATAACCTGTACTTCCTCTTTTCTCCATGTACACCTGAAAAATACTCTTTTTGTTTGTTTTTTACTTTTTACACACACACACAAATGGTGATGTTTGAGCAAGGTCCACTCCTTTCTCTACCCTTCCTTTGTTAGGGAAAGGAAATAGTTCAGGTAGGACCATATGCCAAGAAGGAAATAACTCTGATGTAGTAGAGGAGGCATCCCCAGTTTGGAAAATCTGTTTGAATGCCTGCCTATATCATCTGCAGATCATCTACTGATCTATTTTCTTCCTTCTCTTAAGGCTTTTTCTTACTTTATATCCTCTTCAGTAATGCACAACACACTGAACTGATACCTTGCTATATTCCCTGAATGGAAAAATGGGAGAATGGGATATTATGTTTTGATGCTTGGTTGAAGATAAAGAACTGCTAATAAGATGTTAGCAGACTTTCAGTGTTCTTGAGGAAACCTCAGAGGAGCCAAATTTATTTCCTAAATTTTTCTAGACTATGCTTTCATTGTCTTTCTCATTTTGTACTTATATATTTTGCTTCTTTTCATTATTAATACAACTTAGGTTTTGAGGTCACCTTCAGTTTTTAATTAGCAATTGGACTGTTGCTTCTAATCCATTTCCTAGAGTTGATAAGCATACAGTATTGTCCATTGTTTCTGTAATTGTTTCTGATTCTTTTGAGTGCTACCATCATAGAACTGATCCCTCTCAAAATGTGCTTAGCACTACCAAGTACCTTGAATTAATGAAAAGGGATCAGGGAACACCTGTTTTCTTAATGGTATTCTGAAAATGTGTTTCATTAATTCTTCCAGGACCACCTGTATCTGGACAAACTTCAGAATTTGTGAATCAAGTTTTAGAAAAAACAGCAGAAGGAGATCCTACAGGCGGTCTTGTAGGGCTGCGAATACCAACATCAAAAGTTTAGTAGATGTCACTTCACTCATCCTTTTTCGTCACAGTTTTGCCTGTGTCATGTACTACATTGTAAAATTAATTCTGGTCTGCATGTGAATTTAGCATTATAGAAAACACAGTTTTAAGTTCCATCATTTTGTTTCTTTTCTTATAACAATGTAGTAAGATAAGTGAAAGCATGATATAAAATGCTTAATGGCATTTTGGAGCATAAATCTTAAAGTTTTAAACCTGCTTCTGGCATAAATGTGATGAGTACATAATTCATCTTCAAATTAAGGTCATCTAGGAGTGGATTATATAGCCTATGTAGGAGCAAAACATGTTTTTTCCAAATCAAAATCAAGGAAAATGCCAAACATTAAAGCAGGTTTATGCTCTAAGTAAAATAAAAATATAAACTCAAGTTTCTTTTCAAGAATTATTGCTCTTATGTTCTAAATAAAACAGTAAGTTTTCTTTGCAACCATAACTTGTACATAGCACACCTGGCAAGAAAGCTAGTGTGCCATATAAAAAGTATAATTTTCTGGGCTTGATACGGTATTTAAATGTCTGTGCAAGTAAGAAAAAATGTATACTCTTTGTGCCTTGTATTGGGGGCGGGGAGAAGTGTAAAACTATAAATGATAAAAAGACTTTGAATGATGAGAAACCCTCATGGGGGAGGAGTTGTATAGATGGCCTCGTGGGTTTTAATGTATTTGTTCCAGCTCTTACAAATGTTTGAATGTATATAGGAATATGTTGAAAATGTAGATATGCCACAGAGTCTATGTATTGTATAAAAGATGGCTCTAGAAAACTCATTTTCGGTACTTAGCCGGAAGAAAACAAATACTTGCACATTAATGCGATTGTTTATTTTTGTACCAAAGATAAATGCAACTGATATGGCAAACTGCCAGTTTAAGTAAAGTTTTGCACAGCTTACATGATACTGTACTGAATGTATAAAAAGAAAAAAAAACTTAAAAGGTCAGGGTTAGGGATCTTACTGAACTGTGAATTTCTTTCTTTCTCTTTGGGTCCAATTATCTACAGAAGGAGCATTCATATATAACTTTTTTTTTGCTGTTCTAGTTCGCTTCATAGTAGATAACTTGGCCATTAGAAGGCTGTAAATTCTTGTTTTCTGCACTTACGGTAGAAATTTTAATATATTTGAATTTTAGTGAGCTATTGGTAAACTAGAGGTCAACTTTGGGAATTAAAAATTTAGCTTGTAGTATACTTCCACCAAACAACCAAAATAAAATTATTTTTATTGCAATGTGTATATATGTAAAGAAAGAAGAGCTACAAATATCTAATTCCTTAGTTGCCACTTTTCCAGTTGTTGTATTATTGTGCATGTGATGTTTCCAAGGATCAACACAGGCTAAAAAAAAAAGAGAAGAATTTATAGATTTTATATTTTTGTACAGATATTTCAACTAGCTTCTTCAAACTTCTATGTGACTTATTGTTAACTCGTAGTTTCAATGACTGGGGGAATACAAATGTCCGTGCAGTTTGGCTCATGAGAGTCTGCTTTTAGTCAGTGTTAAAAGTACCAATGAAAAGCTTTATCTCTTGGTAAGAGAGTTGTTTTTGTCAAGACAGGATCATTATCTGGTTTCATGAATGCCTTCCTCCCCTTTGTTTGATATATAGATGACTATGTAACACTGTTTACTAAGGATACCAAATAATTTAGATGTAGCTCCTAGCAAGTGCAAAAATCTCATGAAGGTTTCCCCCACCCCAGCCCACTTTTTACATACTTGTTGTAGTGTAATTCTTTGCTCCTAAATGGAGGTTTGGGGCCTGTTTCATTGCTATATGCACAAGCAATGTTTTGTTTCCTTTTTTTTCTTCTTCCCTTTTTTTGGTTAAAGGTTTGAAAGACTGGGGAAGGCCAGCATACCACTACAGAGCTGTACCACCCCAAAGCCTTCCCCCCCTCTCTTTCTATATTCTGCTGCTTTTTGCCATCTACTATTTTAAAAATATCTGAAGTATTTGCAAAACATCAGCAGAAATTTGCATGTCATGGTAGAGCAGAGGCCTTTTAAAAATGTGATGGTGTATTCTGCAGGCCTGAAAAAATGCTGGAAAATCAGAGATATGTCTGGATTTGGGTTGTAGAGCTATTTCTTTTGTGTATTTTACAGGTACCTGTTTGAAATAATGTTGCATTGATAAAATGGTGTTTGAAAATTGTTCATGCTAAAATTTTGACACTGTGTCAGAAGAGCATGGAAAGGATATATTCTGCAACATGATAGGGTTTTGCTGTCTGGATTTGTTTTGCAAGTTAGACTGACAGTAAAAGAGGATATCCCCTTTGTAGTAGTTCAGGCTTTTCTGAGCTAATATCACTTTTACCGCTTTTGTGTGTTTGTGTGCATGTCTGAAAACCAGAACATGATTTTGATCTAGCATTGGGGGAAGAAACTTTGAATCTTTTTAGTAGATTCCATACCCTTGCATTTCAGTGTTTTCTATGTATTAAGTTATAGTCTGAAAGCTTTTAAATAGTTGAGCTTTTTAATGGTGACACTTTATTTTGTATCTATTTATATACAGTATGTATGTATATCTTAGAAAAGCACTTTGTTTAAAAAAGAAAAAAAAGATATTGCATTTTATATGATTCCTGCCATTTGCTGCTAACTCTGGGCTGGTCAGAATGCTGCAGCGATACTTGATCTAAATAAAACCTGGCAGTAAAATGTAGAGTAAATTTAAGACCTTTGCTGGTTTAACCTTATTGTAAAGATGACATAGGCAAGCTGTGCAGCTTTACATTTTAACCAGGGGACTCTGTGGCATTTAAAACAGTCTAGAAATGGTTGTACTTTTAATGCCAGTAACAATCTGCTTCCTCTAGTGTCATTAAATATCCGTTTAGTGTATAATTATCACAAAGATTTTTTAAAAAAAAAACCAAATGTTCATGTTTTGTTTGGAGAAATTGTGGCATGCATTTTGGATGATTATCTTTAAAGGAGCTCTCTAAAGATTTTCAGTGTTCATACATGGTATGTGGATCTTATTGAAGTCTTTGGTCACTTTCTGAGTGTAGGCATTGTGAATATTCTAATGTCATCCAAAACCGATTATACACCTTATTTTTTAAAAGAAGTCTTAGACTCTCTTTCATACACTGGATGCTTTAGAGTTTGTTTCCATATTAAAGCATGCTCTTGCTACAAATTTGTCAGTTTGAAATTGAGTGCCACACTTCTGTTTTTGAGCAGATAAAATGATCTACTTGCTCCGTACCATGTATGGTTCTTGTCCTTTACCCATTTTATCCATTGACAGATTATGATGTGGCTTTATATTGTGCCTTACTTGTATATTAGAACCAAGTTTATTTTTCATTCCCCAGGATTCCTTAAACCCTTGACCCCTTTTGGAAGCAAACTACAATAAAAGCATCATGAAGGAACTTCAAATAGGTCTGATTTAAAGTTGTGTTGCTAGTTTGTACTGGCGTAGGGTGACCAATTTTTCAATGGTCTTCAAAGATAGGAATTTTTATAGTAACTCCACTACATTGTACAAAAGCTTCTCTGCCTTTTCTCAAATTTATCAAGCACATCTTGATATTTAACTTTTTGGGGCTCATTAGTGCTAGTCTTCTGGCTAGTTAAAGTCTAGCTCTTTCCACTCCGTTCTCCAGTCAATGCAAACAGGAACATTGTTGTAGGAATTGGGCACAGGTATACAAAGTTCTTTTTTCTGGTCAGTAATTTATTTTTAAACTTATAGATGGAAATGTAGTGGGAAAGAGCAAATACTAAGTCTATAACAGACTAAGGTTTCTTGAATAATCTTAAAGCAACAGACATTTTTTTTTTTCAAATACCGTACTGTCAGTGTGGGTTTCACTTAAATCTGTACCATTTTTCTAATGTTTGCCTTTGTTAATAAATCTGCTTGTTTATTCACAAATGTCAATAACTGATGTATTGTTTCTCTTATTGTAAGTCTGTTCAGTATGGCTAGTTTTAAAAATAATAGCCTCCTACCTGTTTTTGATGGGTTTTCTTACAAGTTGCCTTCAGCAGAATAGTATAGCCAGTCTGTTCCTTGACTTATTTAGCAGTCTTCCTGGAATTCTGTTGAGGCACAATCAAATACATAATAGAGAAGTTCAGGCCTTCAGACCTGAATTTCATTCATGCCCAATCATGATTCCTTTTGTGAAGATAAGGCTTTAGCTGTGGAAGCATCTAGCTTAGCCTGCTATCAGATGGAAACCTACATTTTTGTGTAGCTGAATTTGTCTTTTGTTTTACTTTTTGTCTTTGTTTTCTTTTGTTTTGTCTTACCTGAGGGATTGTGCAAAGACATTTCAATCAGTTATGAATCTGAAAACTGATTCTTTCTTTTAAAAAAATGCATTCAAGGGCATTACCACATGGAGAGAAATACACTTAGGGATGTTTCCAATATAAATGGAATGCTGTGTCTACATTTGCAGAAATGGCACTTTACCACATACTTCCTTCACAGGATTCTGAACTTCATTGGATCTCACTGATTTTTTTTAAGTGTTCTCCATTCCTTTAATTTCCACCAAATGATGTAACCGGGTAGAAAGATGTTCTGTGCAATGTGATGCTTAGTCTCTAAAGATATTCACAGACTTCCACAAGAGCATCTTCATTGTACATTTTTGTCCCAAATCCTAAACACACTTTTTTGAAGCAAGCCCTAATTTTATCTGGATCAAACTTGACTTTCATGTTATTTGTATTCAAGGCTGTAACCTCAGTCTTTCTGGATAAAACATAAGCCAAGATAAGACCTTGGTAAATAGTGTGAAACAAAAAAAAAATTCTCTTGTGCAAGATTAGCCCTGAACTACCTTTATGTGGAGTAATGGGGATAACTCTTTCATTTTTATTGCAGTATCTTAAGATGCCTCTAAACATACAGGTTCCTGTTTTCTGTTCTAGGTAACAACTGCTACTGCCTTTGACCTTTAATTTTAAATAGGTATGTTCCTTAAACATAGAGCACACAGTGGATTGACCATACCAAGTAAAATTAGTTATTTGTTTGTTGAACAGTTAAAGAGAAGTCATGCATAACCCAAGTCCCAGTAATTTCAGAAGCTCTGCTCTTAGTACAATATGAGATAGGATCCAATCACACATGCTTGTCAAGGGATTCAACGTTGGTTTGTACTTTTAGAGCAATAGCAACTTTTCCTTTCTTACTAGTCTTCTGTGAAACAAAAAATCATAATGTTCTATCATTGTTATGGGCAATATATTCTACAAATTGAGTTTTCACGCTTTTGGCAGTTGCCTCAAAGAGACTGAAAACCCTTTTGATCCATACATTGTAGTTAAAAACATATTTGGGTCTACAGTCCTAAGTATATTTAACTGTGAAGTTGATCCTCTTAAGTCAATGACATGTATTTCAAAGGAAGGGGGTTCAGAGTTAGGGTACAAGGTTGATGGTGTATGCAAACACAGCAAAACTTTTGAAAGGCAAAAAACAACAACCCAAACTCTTGCATATTAACAACTATGATGACCTTCCTATGCTTGAGATATTTGTAATGCTGTTAATATTATGTAATCCATTACCATCTGAAGCTCAGACAAATGTATTGAAGGTCTTTTTTCTGTTTAGAAAAACAAATTCTCTTTTAAAAGCATGATCTGTTTGAAAATTTTATAATGTTTAATGTTGTGTAATTTTCTTTTTTTTTAAAAAAAGAGGCACAATTAAATTTTATTTGTTTACTCTGTCACCCTTGAGCCCAAGCACTTCTATTCAGATACAAACTCATCAATGTATGCAACATCCTTTGTAATTGAAAATAAATCGTGAAGAGAAGTTCTGACTTCACTTTGAGTTCTGTGTGGTTCTTCTCTGCGATATTTAGCTCATAGATTTTTAAAATAAACGTGTTCGCTACAAAGGCTGTTATCTTCCTTCACACTAACAGAGATACCTCATACTAAAATGTCTTGATTCTGGAAGTCTGGCACAGTCTATAGAGCCTCCCTCTACAAGGATTTATAATCCTTTCATACAGGAAGAAACTTTGTCCCTTCAAGTGGCACTATTTAGCCTTGTGGGACACAAATGGGAATGTGAAGGAAATGTGAAGAATAGCCCTAGCTGTAGCTCACATTACTTAAATTTTATATCTTTCATTTTTAGTCTAGCCAATTTATATCAAAGCTTTCAGAAAGAATTGGGTGTTTCCTGCTGATGTGCCTTCTTGTTTTCCCCAAGCACCTGTTTGTTTTGTTAACAGTTAAATCACCCATGGTGGGACACAAATGGGAATGTGAAGGAAATGTGAAGAATAGCCCTAGCTGTAGCTCACATTACTTAAATTTTATATCTTTCATTTTTAGTCTAGCCAATTTATATCAAAGCTTTCAGAAAGAATTGGGTGTTTCCTGCTGATGTGCCTTCTTGTTTTCCCCAAGCACCTGTTTGTTTTGTTAACAGTTAAATCACCCATGCAGCTCATGGACCGGGCCCTTGGATATCTTTCATTTTTAGTCTAGCCAATTTATATCAAAGCTTTCAGAAAGAATTGGGTGTTTCCTGCTGATGTGCCTTCTTGTTTTCCCCAAGCACCTGTTTGTTTTGTTAACAGTTAAATCACCCATGCAGCTCATGGACCAAATGGGGCCCTTGACCCTTCTTTTTATATCCACTCTTTTTATCAGCTGCTCCATCTATCCAAACTGCCCATAAAGGCTTGGGCTTTCCCTTCCTGGTTTATTTAGCAAATGGGAAAGATGTTTTGCCCTGCCCTACAATCTCACAGGTCTCCATGGTGTGGGAGGACACTGCACCCGTACAGGCACTGCTAATCAGTGGTGGCAGCATGGGAGGGAATGGCGTATCTTGAAGTGTTCTGGTGGTTGTAGGTCCCAAAACCAATGGAATTGCCTACCCCTCTGGTAAGGTAGTAGAAACATAAAGATAAGCCAGAGATGGGGAAAGTTCCTTTTTGGACCACAACTCTCAGAATCTCTTCAAAAAGTTGTTGTTGTTAAGTCATGTCCGATGCTTTGTGACCTCATAGACCAGAGCATGCTAGGCCCTCCTGTCTTCTACTGCCTCCCGGAGTTGGGTCAAATTCATGTTGGTAGCTTCGATGACACTGTCCAACTATCTCGTCCTCTGTTGTCCCCCTCTCCTCTTGCCTTCACACTTTACCAACATCAGGGTCTTTTCCAGGGAGTCTTCTCTCAAAAAGTAACTACTGTATTCCCAACTGCACCTCACATAAAGTTAAACTGTTTAACCTATCTATTCCAGGAATGGTTATTGTATCTGGCAGCAACTTTCCAATCAGTAAGTATTTCCAAATCCTGTTTCCAGAGATCTTTTCAACTGGAAATATTAAGAATTAAATCAAGGATCTTCTCTAGAGGAAAACATGCTGTGAAACTGAGCTGTAAGTTTAGGAAAATAGGATGTAAATGAGGGTCAAAATATTTAATAAGCTTATCCTATCATAAAGAAATACTAAATACTACTGTATGCTATAGTGACAATATGAAATGTAGGTCAAATTAAAAAACAAAATGTTCAGATAATATCTCTGGGCTGGAAGCCTGCTGGCATCATTGGGGTCCCTGCCAGGAAAGAGGTCCCATTTGGACTTTTGTCCCACACGTGAAAGAGAAACAAACCTGTGGGTGCTTTCAAGAGTGCTTCATTTCGCTCTTCTACTTCTTTCCTGCAAGGGAAAAAACGTGGGTGGGGGAGGAATCACTCTCAGATTATGCTTTCAGGAGCTACTCAAAGAGCTGCAAAAGAAAAGGAAATCCATTGCTATGTCCATTACTAATCAGACATAGAATGGATTCCTTAAAAAGAAAACTGTGGCAAAGAACAGGTGGGACAGGGACTCAGTCTAAATAATAAGGGAGCATGGGCTGTTCCAGGATACATCTGGGGGCTACATTTCTTCTCCCATTTACTACAGGAGTAGTGGCTAACTAGGGCAGGACTATACAGTGAAAGCCCTCTCGATGGTCCCCTCTTGTCTTATTTCAAATGGAAGGGGCAAACAGGACCTCTGCCTAAAATCTTGGTACTTTAATAGATTAATGTGAGATATGGTTTCCTTAAATCTTCTGCTTCCAAACTATAGTTCTTAAAGTTTCCTTCCTCACCAGATTAGACTGATGTTTGCCACCAATTTATTGTAGGGGAGACTGGCCTACAACTAAGGGTTTTTGCAGATGCGCTATCTGTATTGTCCTAAAGACTGAATGTACACTGATCTTCCCCTAACATCAAAAGTATATTCCTTTTATCTTGCTTTGTACCAGGGTTTCTGATATAGCCCCTACTAAGTTTCCGTACCTTATTTTTCCCTCCCAAAAGCCTGGAGGTGCTTTGTACAGAGCTGGAGTTTTGCAGGATAGTTCTTCAGAGGCTAATGGCTAATGAGAAGCAGGAAACAAACATTAAGAACACAAAAGCAAGTACTGTATATATTGTCTTCCTGCAAAATCCTGGCATGGAGTCACAATCTGAAGAGAACTCCAAGCCCGCACCAGCTGTGATGGTAACACTGTTGAAGCACATATAGTTCTCATTAACATGGTATGCGGTCCACTACAGCCCATGCTCTCTTACCAAGTGACAAAAAAGGTAGTCCATGGTAGATCAAATGCTGCATCTGAAAATAACTTGTAGAAGTCTGGGAAACACATACTGTATTGAGACTGGCTGATTTCATGCACTTGGTTGGGTGTTTTAACAACCATAGCTTTTAGAATTCCAAAACTGAAATCTAGTGAAATTGGAATTGCACTAGAAGACAGCCTTGCAACATGAATCATGTAAAAAGGATAACTATGCCCGAATGGCCTGTGGAATACATTCTGAAGTTGGGGACTTTGTTTGTATGTTCTCCTGTGGCACCTTTATTACTGTATGAACTTTAGTAGCCTAGCTCATATAAGCTAAAGGATGAATGAATGTGTACCACTGCCAGCTGTCCGTGGGCTGGCTCAGTTTCAAAACCCAGGCTGTATTAAGTAAGATTAAAGTTGGAGAAAGAGCCAGCTTTGGAAATAATGGTGAGTCTGGATGGAAGCCAGAGACACAGATTTTTGTGGAGTATGTCGTAATAGCTAAAGGAAAATATTCGCTGACTCTTTCAGTCCAGGCTGCCAGACATTGTGACTGATGAGAACGTGAAAAGGAGGAATTAGGCAGCAGCTTTTATCATAAGTCACCTGGGGGTTCCTAAAACCAAATAATAAATCCTCCATTATAAACAGAACTACTTGGAACCAGGTAACACATTGAGGCATTTATATCATTGGGTTTTTTGTTTGTTTGTTTGTTTAATTTCTCTACTAGACCAAGATAGCTGTCATGAGTCCCCCTGACCGTCTCTTAGTTGACAGGTGGCCCATCCTCTATTCCTAAATCCATGTTGATACAAGTGTCGGTAACAACAGCACTGGATGTGCTGAGGCATTTGATTGCTCTATTGCATAACCTTCTCATGAGAAGAGAAGACTCCCTGGAAAAGACCCTGATGTTGGGAAAGTGTGAGGGCAAGAAGAGAAGGGGACGACAGAGGATGAGATAGTTGGACAGTGTCACCGAAGCTACCAACATGAATTTGACCCAACTCTGGGAGGCAGTGAAAGACAGGAGGGTCTGGCTTGCTCTGGTCCATGGGGGCACAAAGAGTCGGACACAACTAAACAACTAAACAAGAACAACAAACAGCAACACAATTACATAACCTTTACTCTGGACAAAAAACTACTGTTCAGACAGAATACAGAGAAACAGAATAGTGTCCCATTAGCAATGGTGTCCGCAAAGAGTACATTTTACTCCCTCTTCTGTCATCCTTGTACAGAGAACATATCATGCAGACAGCTGGATTAGACTCAGCTAAAGGAGTAGAAACTGGCATAAGAAACATCAATAATATAAGATGTGCATGTGACACCATTTTTGGCAGAATATAATAATGTGAAATGACTACACTTAAAGGTTAAAGAAAGAAGTGCAAAAAGAGTATTACATAATTTTAATGTTGACAATAAAGAAATCAAATACAGTAGTTAAAGATTTTCTATACCTTGGTTCAATCACCAACTCAAATTAACATTACAACCAAGAAATCAGAAGACAGACTTGGAAAAGCTGCTTTAAAGGAACGATTAAATTGTATCTTTCAAGATAATCCATAATATGGTGCCCCTAATTACTATGTACAGAAGTGAAACCTGGGCAGAGAAGTAAGCTGGCAAGGAAAAAAAGTGTTGGAAGACAGCTTTATGGATACTTTGGACTCAACGGATAAATGAGTAACAGATAAAATCAGGCCTGAAGTCTCATGAGTCACTAAAATGTCTAAATTGAAGGTATCATACAAGACTCTGGAAAAGACAACTGGTTTCCAGTGACACATCCTTTATTCTGAAGGATCTTTCCTGGCAGTTTCACAGCTGTATTTCCAAGTCTTGGTCCTTCTGATTCTCTCGCTGCAGCCTCCATTCAGACTGGTGATTGGATCTGGAACCCCTCTCAGATGCACATCTTAAAGTGGTGAGCGGATTTGAGTGCCTCAGGAAAGCTTAGGGCAATGACACCAGGGGACTAGACTTCATGACTGGATAAGACTGGACAACTAGTAGGGTCACCCAAGGCACAACTGTCAAAGCTGAAACGCCAGACTAAGAGGCATGCATACCCCCCAGGGATTAGCGGTTGTATCGGCAGGAGAAAATAAATTGTCCCAATGGTGATGGGGGCAAAGAAACTAGTGAAGGGAAATTTTAGGGCAGCAACAACAGTGAAAGGGAATCTTTCACAGACAAGGGCAGTGACGCTCACGCTAACTCGTTAGTACTGCACAGAAGGCAGCCACGATCAGCCACTTCTGAGTACTGTACTGCCAGTATCTTGAAAACCCTCTAAGGAGGGCGGATGTATTTATTCGTCTGTTCTGCAGAAGAGAAGTGTGACGCCTTCTACGCTAACGAACTGCAAGCGGCACCAATTTCTCTGGTGGGCTTTCAAGTCCATTCCGTCGGCGCGTTCGCCTCAATTGGCAAGCGTGTGTGGAGAGACACCAGACAAATGCTACGGGGCGAGATGCAAACTCGGAGGGAAATCGGGCAGCCCCGAAACGTTTCTCCTCTTCCAAGGGCATCCCGTTTCCCAGGGCGAGGCAGGCGCCCCAAGAGAGTTTCCTTCCTGAACGCTTGCCTGCCCGCCACTTTTCTTTTCTTGGCCACGAGAGCACCGCCTCCACCGGGGAAGGGAAGGGGAGGGGAGGGCGTCGGGTATCGTGTGTCGAAATCGGTTCGCGTTCCCTCTCGCTCGCCGTAGTTTGTCCGAAGATGGCGGCCGCCGGTGACGTGCTGGTCCGAGTCTGCAACCAGGAGATTGTCAAATTCGACCTGGAGATTAAAGCCGCCGTGCAGGTACAAGCCCTTTCTTCTTGCCCTCCGCCTCCCTTGTTGTGTCGCGAGGAGGCGTTTTAATTGCAGACTGTCTTCCGCTCCGCCTTTATATGTTCTAGGAAACGAGCCTTTTGAAGAAAGAGGTTTGGTCCTTCAGCCCCACTAGTGCAGGGAAATGTATGAGGTCTTAAAGGGTAGCTGGTTGATGCCGTTGGTTCTTAATCCTTTCCAGGAAAACTGGGTTTTTTTTAATGCATTGGCTACTGTTTTAAGACGCCTCAAGGGACTCCGTTCGGTTTGTTTGTTTTTACTGCAGGACGACTTTATTGTTGTGAGTCGTCTTACAATATTTATTTATTTAATCAACCAACCAACCAATCAATCAATCAATCAATCAATCAATCTTACACTATGTAATTTCCAGATATTCACCTCACCAGGTGGTCAGTTCCAAATCAGAGGCTGGATGTCAGGCTCCCACAGACATCCAGAAAGCATGGCTGTTTTTTTTAAAAAAATGTAAATAAGAACTTTGTTTTTGTCAATAGTGGAAGTCATAAGCCGTAAAGTCTTCCATTAGCTTAGTGCCAGCATCCTGTGAGACCCATACAGTATTTAGAGTCAGTATCAAATGGACATTGTACAATCCAGGAGAACAAAGATGCATGTTTCGTCTGTTTATTGCTTGTTATTTCTTTTAGGATATCCGAGATTGCATGGGACCTATAAGTACACTTACAGAGTTGAATGCTAATGTAAAAGAAAAGTTTCAGCAATTACGTCTTAGAATTCAGGTGAGGAGTACTGACAAAACATAGCAAGTGTTTCTGTCAGCTTTGTAAGTAAGCCTGCAGACATTTTTACTAGCTGAAGCAGTGTTCTGCATTCTTTGATTTCATTGGCTGAAATCCTTTTGAAATAAGTTTATGCTGCACAACTAGAATGACTCATCATCTTGCAAGGGAATAATTAAAAACTTCCTATCTCTCCCCTTTGGGTTATGGGGCTCCTTAAGGCTCACAACACAAATAGTGTGGTTTATCTATCTATCTATCTATCTATCTATCTATCTATCTATCTATCTATCTATCTATCTATCTATCTATCTATCTATCTATCTATCTATCTCTCTCTCTCTCT